AGTTGACGAAAACTTCGAACCTATCGAAATTGATGAGTCTGATGACTGGGTTATCCTTGGAAAAGGTAAATTACTTTTATTTCATTATAATTTTATCAATTAGATACTTATTTTAATTTTAAATAGGTGAATCCGAGTCAGATTCTAAAAAGATTGATGATGAAGGGTGTGGAGGTGTTGTTGATCGACACAGCCGATCATCTTCTTCCTGTCAAAATGAAGAAGGCTGGTTTGTTACTCCACCTCCTTGCTTTACATCCATTGGTCCAGCTGATATGGAGACGACACCTTTGGAGAATCTTCTCATTGAACATCCAAGTATGTCTGTATATCACAGCCCTACTGTGAGTTCAGTAATGCCTGAGAAAAGATCTCTAGCTTCAATTGCAAGCAATAGTGAGTCGTTTGATGACGATACACCAATAGTCTTTGAAGCCGTGAAATGTAAAGAAAAAGTATCAAAACACCCCAAGAAGAAGGCGCTGAAAAAATCTGTGCCTCTTGATGAATTCAAAATTGCCCCTGAAACAATTTTGGGTGATGTATCAAGTGTTTTACCATCTCCTGTTGTTGAGGTTAAAAAAGTCGAACGTTCTCAAACAGAAATGTTTCCAGTATTGGCTCCAATTTCTAAACCAAAAGTATGCTCTCCTCCAGCTAATCGTAGCTATAAAGAAGTAGCAGCATCATTAAAACGAAGACAACCCAAAAACGACACATCTGAAACAAAACATGTTAAAATTGAATCCAAAGTCGAAGCTGTAAATTCACCTCAAACAATTTCGTCAATGGAAGAAGAAACACAAGCAATTGTGAAAGTTTTTACACCTAAAACTGTCATGAAGAAAGGCCGCAAACCACCTTGCCCATTGCCTCATTTAATGAAAAATGAGTCGCAAAAGACAACCCCAAAAGAAATAATTGTTCCTAAAATTCGTGCTCAAGAACGATTGGTCAGGTTGAGTTCCTTTAGCATAATACAATCTGATGTGCCAAAAAGCTGTAAAACACCAAAAAGAAATGCTATAAAACCAGTTATTGAAAAGCAACAAAAGTTGATCAGTAATTCAACAATTTGTGTTGAAACACAAAAACCTGTACTTGTTTTAGATACTGAAGAAAAAAAAAAGAAGAAGGTACAACAAAAATCTGTTGTTAAAGAAGTGAAACATGAGATAATTGAATCTCATCCAGTTACCCAAACAGCAGTAGTAAGACCAAAATGTGATGTGATTGAAAAAAGAGACCAAAAGTCTCCCGTGAAAAAGGAGAACATCATCATACCATTGACGACTTCCATTGCACTCAATTCTTTAGTGTCTCGACCTGAAGAAAATGCTTACAAGCACGAGTTGCTTAAAAGAGAGCTGGCAATGATTGCTGGCACCAATAAAGCACAAAAGGTAAGAACTCAACTATGATTATTATAACCATATTAATATATAATTTAAATTAATGTTGAACACTTAAAAATTACTCTATGATCTTATGCAACATATATTTTTTTTCTTATAAAATGTATTAAATAACAAAACATTTTATTTACAGCTGCAAGCTCACAGAGAAACTCGTATTTTAAGTCGTAACCAGCTGACACATATCAATCGTGTAAATTTGATGATGAGTGCAAGTAACAAAAGACTGAGGAGAGCTGACAAGAATATGCGACCGTCGAATGCTAATAACAATCGTAAATGCTGTTAACTTTAAATAATAATAAAAAAAAAAATCAATTATACTGGCTTCTAATATAATCAGTTAGTAAAATTATAATAGGTTGAAATAATATTATTTTAGCTTACATTGGGTCAAGGGAAAAAATAACAAAAGATATAAAAAAAAGTAAAAAATGTTAACAAAATAGAAAAGTATAAAAATTAAAATAAAAAAAAAAAAATGCGTGTCTATTAATTATATAATTATTATAATCAGTTTATGAAAATTAGTACACTGCATTATTTATAATTTTTAGTAACTGATTAATTAGGGGATTACTAATTTTTAAACAATTTATTTCTTCTTCAATATAAGCGCTAATACTTTTTGCTAATGTGTTATAATATTATATATTATACATTGCTACTTGTAACAAAATTAAAAAAAAAAATTATTATTTAATAATATTTTACAATTTTACAATTTATAGAAGTGTTTATAATTGAAGAGAAATAAGAAATAAATTATTTAGAATAAAGTAAGACAGTGTTAAATTTTTTTAAATTTATCTTATACCATATACCATATATATATATGTTTAAGTTAAACATTCATTGCTGATTAAGTTACCAAGCAATAAAAAATGTAATATTTGGCCAGTATACAGATATTTTATCAAAAGTATTTCCTCCATATATAAAAACCAATATAAATTATTATTTGTACCTGATAAAAATGACCAGCTTTTTGAGCAGTTCTATATTGTATGTACCCCTTTTAAAAATTAAGTTATATTTTACATTCTCTTTAATTTATTTAAATTAACAATAATGTTTAAAACGTATGTAGTTATATTTTTAAATGTTAGGTGTAACACCATTACATTTTAACTCTTTAATCAATATTGATAAGTATGGTAATTAGGCCTCACATTTGTATGTATAATAATATTTATTTATTTATTTATTTCTATGATTTACCATATTATAATTAATTAGATATAATATTCTAAAATGCTATAAGATTATTATTAAAATGAAAAAAAAATTATAGTTTACATAAATATTATATAGCTGTACATTATAATATAAATTTTTTTTTCATTGTACTAGAAGATAATATTATATATAGGTACATATTTTAAGTATTGTTTTACTTCTTAAATTTCTTTACTATATAAATAAATGACAAGCACAGACATTGGATTTGTAAACAATTAATTTTAGTAATTTGATTACACTTCATTATTTTCTGAATTTTTCCAGAGTTGTCTGAGTAAATGATTGAATATTTGATAATTTTTAAAATTATATATACTAGTTAACGAATAGATAGTATTTGCAGTTATTCATCAATCACTACTAAAATTTGGCAATAATATGAGTTCATAATGTTGTTCATTGATTATTAATAACTATATTTACTATTTATTATTGAAATCATTTCAAATTATCATTATACAATTATGATCATCAGTCGTTATATTGATGTTCCAAATATTATAATAGAGATACCTAAGAAATCTAATTTTAAAAGGACCTTTCAATTATATATTATACAAGTATCATAGTTAAGTTAACTATTGTTTGTAATGTGTTATTGAAAACATTTTTTCAAAGAGCACAGTGTTTGAATTGATGTATAAGGATAAATGGTATTGGTATTTATAATACTCATAAATTATTTGTTAAATATTACCTTTTTCTTAATGTATGTGTTATCTAAAATATTATTTATTATATTTATATTTATTGCTAACATCTAAGTTACATCAACGTTGTTATAAATTGTTGATCGCTTTTTTTTATTTTATTTGAATGATTATTTAACTGTGTATACACGTTTATAAGAGTAATGTGTACACAAGACCACAAGATTGTAAATGCTTTATTATTATTATTACTATTATTATTATTGATATTTTATAATTTTTTCTGATTTGGTTTGTAATATTAAAAATTAAAGTATGTCAAAACCTGTGATCTAAATTAAAACTTCTATGAAGCAATAAGATAAAAATTATGTAAAAATTAGAATGACTTTCTTAAAATGTATTTAAATCAATTGTTCGATTTATTAAATATTGTAAAAAAAAAGTCTATAAATATATCAACTATATTTTGTAGATATAAAACGTATTAAAAATTGCTGATTGCAAATATCGATTATGTTATTTAGCGAAAAACATGTATTGCAAAGTGATGCTATTTATAATGACTATTAATACGTATGTAACATGCTGTAATTATTGTACTTAAAAATTATTATGTCCACCAATGTTTTATTGTTTGTTTCATAAATTTCCAATTTTACTAGGTATTTTATTTATTTATATAGTTACACAAGAATCATATTTACATTATATATTATAATAACTCGTAGGGTACAAGTTTGTGTTCAAAGGAAAAAAAGAAAAAAAAAGATTGATAAAATTAAAAAAAAAAAGTATTAAACTATCATTATTATCTGAACATAATTTTCTTTGTTTTTTATTTACCTATGCTGCTTCTGTTCCTCTAATCCTGTTGTCCGTGTTTCAAACACTAAATTGAGCTTAACCATTATTATGGATTTATTTCTGGTTCCATAAAACATTTCATTTTTAATTCAACTGGGAGATGACTGAAGATTGTGATAAGTATTATCAATTATCAGTGGTTTGTAAGCTCATATACTAATGCATTATAATAATTCTATGTTTTGTTTTCCTCTAAAAATTATTCAGTGCCCTCTTCATCATAATATAATCCATAATGCCAATCGTAGAAAAATAAGCATACATTTTTCGATACCAATAATAAAATGTCAGTAATATATACATCCCATCCTACATAATTGTATACTGTTCTTCCAGTTCAGTAATTATACTTCAACCAAATACATTTATTAAAGTATAGTTTATTGTTAATGGCCGTCTATGTATAATGTTACTGGAATTTTGATCTTTGATTGTATAGCTATTAATAATTAAAATAATTGTTAAAACATTTGTTATGTTTTCTTACATTGGTGCACAATGTAGATACAATGGGTTTATCGTCTCTCTCCAGATACATGATAAATATTTTTTAAATGTACATGTCATGCGTTCAATATAATTCTTAAAGTTCGAATTTAAAATTATTTGATTGATAGTGATAAAAAGAAATTTTACGGAAGATATCAAGAGAAATAATTTTAATTAAAACATTTATTCAAAAAAAAAATCCTTAATTATAAGTTTAGATTAGTGATAAAATACGCAAATTGACAGACAATATAAAGTTGATATTTTTTTATTTATGAGAATTTTTCACAAACAATTTATATTTTTTATAAACAAAATATATTTTTTTTAAATAATAATAAATAACAATAAATAAAATAGTTACACATTTTATGCTCCATATGCATTCATATAAATAACTTATCTGGTTTAAAAAATTAATAAATTTTAATTGCATACGTTTCTGACTTCTATGACATTTTGAGCTGTAACAATTTTACTGGATGATTAGATTCACTTAAGTTGAGCAATTTAAATTGGCCATTTGCATGGCAGAACACAATTTTTGCTTAGCGTTTGTTATTATTCTTATTGTTTCATCCATCAGAAATTCAGCTTCAATATGATTTACTATTAATGACCATGATACATTGTTATTAAAGTGTAAACCAAGTGTCTCTTTGTTTTTATCCTGTAGAAAAAAGACTAAAATGTGTAAATTTCTCATTTAATGTGTATAATTTAAAGTTTATGTAACTCACAATACGAATGAATGTACTCATTTGTTGAATATGAGCTAATGTTGGGAAATGTTCATCATAAGGTATCAGCCATGCACATTCACCACCCAATATTATCAGCTCGTATTCCGTAATCACTATACCTGGTAAGTCAATAATTTCAACAAGTCCTGAAATAAATATTATTTATATCCATTAAATGTCTACAGTAATCATATACCTGTAATTTCAGTTTAGGTTAATGAGTCATAGTACATTTGATTCAAAGTAAAATAATATTATCCCATTAATTACCATTATCTGTGATGATTGTCGCGCACTCACAGAACATCACATGAATAATAGGTAAATGTAGTTCGTTTTTGTAAAGAATATTATTGACATATAGATAAGAATTAGTGTTTGGGGAAGAGACTAATACCTCTCGTTGTTCAAATGGTTTTATCCCTGAAACAGTGACGAATAATGGTATAGAATTAATAGTCAACATTTAAATAATTACATACTTTCTAAAAATACAATTAATCGTATAGTGATACGTGGCACGTAAAGAACAAATGTATATTTCATCTCTCTTTCTGGTTGAGTGACACATATAGCTAGACCAACATTCCATGGAAGGGCAGCTATGGACTTGACAAGACTTAATCGATGTCTAGACACTTTTTGTAAGCTATACAAGATAATAATATAGTGAAGTGCAAGAATACCATACTAATCAATGTATACACTGCTTACAGTTCATCTGGCTGGCCGATGAATTTAAACACATATAGCGATTTGTTTGATATGATCACACACCCATCAACACGGTGATCTGGGCTCGTCATAATACAATTACACTGTTAAGTGAAATATGTTATTTTTAGTTTAATTTAAATAAAATATTTAAAAAAAAATTGAATAACACAACCTACTCGAAAAACCAATACAAATTCTTCTTTGTCTCGAAAAAATTTATTTTGAACATATGATTTTAACCGTAGATCAACTGATACAAAATCATCATAAGAGAACTTAATAGGTACATCTACTACTGATGGAATCGTAGAATCGATGTTACTTCCTGTTTTTATTACACAAACAATATACATAATATTTTAAATGTGTTTAATGTTCATTAAGCATAATTATTATATTTAATTGTTAATACATACCTTTTATAGTTGACGAACTGTTGTTGTGTTGCTTTCGACTTTCATAAGCAGTACACACACTATCTGTCATTGATCCTAATATTTATATTAATTCAATTAAAATGCAACAAAAACCACAATAAATAAAAATTTAAAATATTATACACATTGTTAATGTCAGTATTTTATTAAGATTTGAACTTATCATAAAATTACTCAAAAATTAGAAATATTAATTATTTTATTAACTTGAATTAAATTTTATATTTAATATGATTCTAATAATAAAATATTTGTAAGATACGATATATTTTATATATAAAAATTATACTTAGAATAAACTACAAGGCATAAGTAAGAAAAAAGATCAATTTTGATATTATGTTATTAAAATTATATATTATGTAGTAAAAAATATATTAATTTAATTTAATAATTAAAAAAAGGAAATATACAAATTGTCCAATGTCCACTGATGACAATACTCACCAATTTACCATGCCAAATTTATACTATATTTAAAATAAGTCTATGACCAAAATTGAAACAACTGTATTATAAATTACATTAACTGTGTTTAATAGAATTTATAAAATAATTATACATTATGGATAAAATAAAATAATGAACAGCAATAAGGAGAATCAATTCACTGACTTGTGCAGTATGCTACCTACCAAAAAACTTCACAAGTGTAGTTTGTTACATTACTACCAACTAATTAATAAAAATTTATCAAACTAAAAAATTTACTTAATGTATTGCTAATGATGATCATTGTTAAGTATTTTATCATATTATTATACATTAATATATATTATTTTTACAACAAGATGTTCCTTCCATGTGCTACCAAATAAAACATCATCTTTTAATTTAGACAACAATCAAGTTCTGGCAGCAAGTTTCTCTCTTGAAGATATTTAACACATGTTTCTTTATTAGATGTTTTTTGTTCATATAATACAACATTGATTAATTCATTATATTATTTTAAAATAAATAATTGTATAACATATACAAAGTAAAACTCTCAACTAAAAAATACACCTGTGAACACAGTAAGGCAAAAGGACATAATATAGACTAAAATAATATATGTAAAAGTTAGTTATTGTAGGTCTTGATTGATATTTACTAGTTATAATGGCTATTTAGCTATAATATTGTATAATTGTTATATATTATTTATCTTAATGACTCAACTCATAGGTTTGTATAAATAAAAATAACTATAGTAGGTGGCATACTGGAGGTGTACAGTTTTTTTTCTAAGTAACATTTCATAGTAGATAGCATACTACACAAATATCAAAGCATGAGACAGATACAACAAACAATAATTATTTATATAGTAATGAACAGTTAAAGTAATTTTGTCATTTTCTTATTTTAAACTGAGTAAAAATGTTAATGTACAAATTACTAACACTAAAATTATAGAAATACTAACCTGAAGAGCTACTTTCAGTTAATGCAGTCCGAACATCAATAGTTAGTAGAGGTTTTTCTGATTTGATTTCTTTACTATAATATAAACATAATTTGGAATAAAAATAATATACAAGTATTATAGTTAAATATTCATAAATAGAGTCTAAACCAAATATTAAATAATACACCATAAGACAATGAAAAATTCAAAATTGCATTTAAGTCAAAATTATAATTTTAAAATGGTGAATTAAAAAATAAAATATAAAAAAATATAATGAGCAAATATCTGAAAAGTTGGTATTAAAGTATTTAAAAAACTACTAAATCGCAGATTATCTTTTACTCATATTCTTGTCAAAAATATTAAATTATAAACTCTTGGTTTTCACAAAATATATTTATGTTGTATTATATATTATACTAGAATCTATGGTTATAATTTTTTAAATATTTTTTCTTTTTTAAACATAGATATTCTTGAAGAAAAAGAATAAAGCTCAACAAAAATTAAAATTATCCATTAGATAGAATATGGACAATAGAAACAAAAAAATCAAAATAAGTTAATTGCATGGACAATTTATTGTAGCAAATTATATCTTTTTATATTTCAAAAAATATTAAATATGAACAATAAGCTGAAATGCAAGATTTGAAGTATCTTTATTATAACTATTTTTTTTTTTTAACATTTTGATTTCTTAAGTGACCTAAATAATATAAGTATAATCTAATAATTAAAAATTAAAATTGTCACTTATAATTTTAAATCAATTTGTATATATTATAAGAATTTTAATAAATTTTATTTATTGAACTTTTATAGTTAATATTGAGTTACGGTTTAAGAGCATGAAAATGTAATATAAATATAAAACATATATACCTTGATATTACTTCAAGAATTTCAACAGAATTCTCACTAGGATTACTTATAATTTCTACATCACTATCATTACTAGAAAATATTCGTTGTTCTGGTTCTTCTGAGCCTTAAAATGTTTAAAATTTAATATTATTATTAAATATAAGTAGATATAGTTCTGTTAATTATTCAAATACTTTTTTTTTTAAATCATTCAATATTTTAAATGATTCTATGAATTTATAATAAGATTTCATGAGATAATTGAAAATAGTTAAAATTTATATCCACCAAAATGAAGTTTAACTTGACATATCAATTAATAATTATAATAGAATATGTGAAATTTGAAATTCTTGAATTTATTTAAGCATGTATAATTAACTATTTAATTGAAATATTTATAAAAAAGTTAAAATATCTATTTTTGATTAATGTACAAATTAATTGAACAAAAGAAAAATTTAATTGTTAAATATTTTCAATATTTTTAACTTTTAAATAGTATTTGTATTTATGTTCAAATACTTGTTAACAAAAGTATTCAAATTCATATTTCAATTACAAATGGCATCAAATGTTTAATATGTATTTTAAAGTTTTCTTAACAAATCTTCATACGTAAACATATTTTTAAATTTTTAATCTTACTAGATCTTGAATTAATAGGTGTTGAATTATTAGAGTTTTCTTCTTCAATAAAATTTTGTTCATATATTTCTAATGGCTGATTTGACTTCTTAGAAGAAGATGGAAGAACTTCTTCTTCTATTTGTATAATGATATTGCTGTCACAACTAGGGCAACAGTTTTTTCTTTTTTCTTCTGGAAAACAATTAAATTATTTATTTTTTTAATTAAGCAGTAATACATAATACTATCACATTATTTTTGGTGATTAATATTAAACTAATAATCAATTTAATAGTTAAGTTAAATGAAAATGTATTTTTCAAAATCAAATAAATAGATTATACTTTATGGTAGGTTGAAATTCTAATCTACCTAATTTTAATTTCTGAAAACAATAATATATTAACATTTTTAGATTCTAGATGTTCTCTTACTGAAAAATTGAAGTTTATGTTTTGATGACATTAGATACCAAAATGTATAATTAAAAATCATCCTCAAACAATTTGTTTTATTTTTTTATTATTAATTATGATACTTGAAACATAAATATACTTAAATTGTCATTTTTTATACTCAATAACATTTTCAAAATGATTATGTTTGTACTATATTCTAGAAAATTTAATTGAAGACCTTTCATATGATATTCTTATAGAAAATAATGAAATATCAAATATATACAGAATAATTATTTAGCTAAGGCTTGAAAATGTAATTCAAATTTCCTCATAAGTTGTATTTAAAGCGGCTTAAAAGTATTGAAAAATCTCTAAAAACTTCCATGCTTGTTTTTTTCTTCAATTATATTGGTTTGTCTTTTTATATACAATATAAATGTAGACACAAATTGATATTTATAGTATTATGTTTTAGTTTTTATTTTTACATTTTATTTCTAATTTATTATTCATCATAATTATAAGAAATTTTTGTTATTAGTTTTTATCTTTTAAACTAATTTTCATGTTGTTCATTTTTTCCTTATTTTATGAATTAAAAACTAATTAAATATTGATATTCACAGGAGTTGATAAATTGTAAAAATATAAAAATTGTATTTAATATCTGTTACAGATATTAATTTAAAATTATTTAATATATTATAATATCTAATGGTGCAAACAATAACTTGCTGAAAATTTTTTAGACCTAAAGTAAAGTACTATTTGACTACTCATGCACTCATAGTTTTTAATCTACATTTTTTTTATTACTTAATAGTATAAATGTTTTTATTAAAAATCTTTTATTTTACTAAATTTAAAAATCTAAAATTTTACTAAATTGTCCGGTACCCACCTGCCCAACCACCAACCCATTTTGATTTTAAGGCAATTGCCTTAAAAAAACCTACTTCAGCAGTCCAACTAAGATGAAATTTAAAATTTGTTAAGATCATGTAAATGTTATAAGTATTTGATATACTGGGCTATAATAATAATTTAAAAATATTTTTTTTTTTATTAATAGTTTATACTCACTAAGAACATTTTTATTACTTTCTTGACAAAATATTGTATCACATTTTATACATTTAAATACCAATTGATTCATTTCACTCAATGTTCTCGACTCTAATTCCATACTAATAATATTTAAAAATTCCTAAAAATATACATAAATAGATCACAAAATATAATATATATTAAATTTTCTACTTATTAAAAATCTAAAAACAAATAAAAAAAAAAAAAAAACTCTTCTTTTTAAATTTACATAATTTGAAAGTCTACTATTCCTAATCTGTATGTATAAATATTATGCATACAACGGGTAAACTTCGATATGTTTCAAAATTATACAATCGATTTTGATTTTGTTCATGAGTGTGATTTGGTCTAAATTAAAAAAATAGGATAGCTCATATCTCGATTAAAGGTAAGTAAGAAAGATAAATGAGAAATGATTTGATTTTGCAGCAACAACTGATAATAGGTGAAAGATAGAAGATAAAATGGATAAAATTATAAATTTTTATAATTTAAAATCATAAAAATAATTTTTAAAAATGAACAATATCTACTTCAATTATAAAATATAATTTTCATGTTATCAATTAAGAACTTTGTAAATAGTTTAGTATAGCATTAATTCAACAGATTATGACAGCCTCAGCAATGTGTAGCTGGGTCAATTAGTTATTTAATAATTTAATTTACTTTAGCATCATCTTCACTCATTGCATATATTCTTTGGTTTAGATTTTTTCTAATAGTCATAAAATTTAATTGTAATTTAATTGGGTCAAATCCAATTTTGACACAACTTTCAATAGAATCTCGACTCCAGGTAGCAAGTAAATGACCATCAACACAATTCCTTTCTTTTAATTCTCTATAACAAATTCATAAGTTATTGTTAGGAACACTATTTTTAATAATAATAAAAAAAAAATACATGCATTTAATAACCAGAACATAGAGCCAGTGGCACCCACTAAAGGATACCATGCGTCCACTGAGGTTATAAAATGTATTATTATTATTACAATACTTTAAATTAAAAATACTAAATATAAAACATTTTTCTCTCAATTTTATAATCAATAAAATTTATGGTAACTATTTTTGGCATGAATTCAGTATATGTTTTTATTTAAAAAATCATAAGTTAAATTGCAGTTATTAATAATAATTATAAATAATAAAATTTTAGAATTAAGTCTCATAGTATCAAAAATAAAAAAACTTTTACGTATTGAAACTTTGAGATATTGGTGATGGTATGCTTGAAATTTAAAAAAATAATTACATTTATTTTTCAATAATTTTTTTTTTTTTTTTTGATGCAGTAAATATTTAATTTTTTTAATTAACTTGTATTATTTTTATGTTAATGAAGCATAATAAATTATGGAGATAATTGTAGACATATAAAAAAGTTTTTCATGCCAAAATAAATTAACATGAAAATCCAACACTAAAAAGATTGTGATTTTTTATTCAAAGATTGTGAATAAAAATGATTTAAAGAAACTTTGAAATACAAGAATTTGAATTAGTGAGGTTTTACTGTAATGGTATTTTTTTATTTATAATACTTTTGTTAATATTATATACTTATTATTTTCATTATTTCATCTTTGTTTTAATAATTGTTTATTTCATGTAAAATTATTGAATTTAATAACATTTATATTGTAGATTAGTAGACTATTATATAATTTAAGTCACTAATAACTAAAAATAAAAATAAAACTATTATTTAATTAAAAATTAAAATACTTACTTTTCAGTTAAACATAATAAAATATTGGAATATTCGTTTGTTATCACATCAATATTTTGAACTCGCCAATAATTTTCTAAAAAATAAAATATACATAAGCTTAGTAGTTATAGCATAACTTAAAAATTTATCATAGACATTTGTTAGAAACTTTCAAGTGTCAGTATAAATTTGAATAATTATGTTAAAGTAATATCAGTTAGAAAAAAAAATGAATGTCAGATATATTTTTTTTTTACCATTACAGTCCCTATTAAAATCAAACTATAACATCAGTATTTAGATATATCAATTAATTGTTATTTCTTTATTTTCTTAACAATTTCATGCAGTCTATTTCGATCACCAAAAACATACATATCATTCAATTTTGGAGTGGAAAAAATATTAATTTTACAAATTTTTAAAATACTGCTATAAACAGAATCTAATTTTCTAGTGATGGCCCATGAGTAACTTAAACTGAATGTATCAGAGGCGTGATCTCACCAAACCAGACAGAAATTGCTCCCCTGAGTTACTCATACATGATAATAATTATACACATTTAATAATTTTAGTAAATATAATCAATTTCAAAATTAGCTGACCTGATAATCTTAAAGTTTCTTCATTTTTGTTTAACATATAATATTCTGGATTTGAGTTAACTATTAATGTTTGAACAATTTCTGGCTCAACATCCATTTCTAAATGAGATTCATTATTTAATATAATACATTCTTCGTTATCAGTAAAATCATTAGATTTTGAATTACTGTCTTCAATAATTTGTTCTACCTATAACATTATTTTTTAAATTTATATAATTCTATTATTTATATGATATAAAATATTTAAAAATAAAATCTATACAGGAACTTCTTCAGAAAAAGATCCATTTTCTGACTGCTGTTTGATACCCAAAATATCTTGAACATAACTTCCAGCATTACTATGTAACCAATTATCTTCTCCAAACATTTCTCGTACATTTTCAATTTTTTTTTTTGTAGTTAAATGTTCCGACTTTAAAATTTCTAAAAATAAAAATAAATACATTTAACTACTAACATAAACTAAATTATAAAATTAATAAAACCTTTTTTTGAAGTTGTTGGCAGTACAGGAGTTTGAATAACGCAACATTTTTCCCATTTATGGTCTTCAATAACAGGAGATCTTATTTTTTTGGCTTTAACACTTGCTAAAAAAAATTATTTTATTATTATATTATTATTGTTGTAACAATGTTACAATAATTTTAATATTATATTCATCAACATATATTTTTTTTTTATAAATTAATAATTTACCAGGAGGCTGTTGATAATGTAAAAATGACAGATCTAATGATCTGGAAGACTGTCCAACAAATTGTTTTTCTGATTTTGAAAGTAGTTGATTGTCAAGTTCAAACTATATTAGTGAGTAATAAAAATTATAATAAACAACAATTTTAATTTATAAATTTATTTTTTAATTTCTTACAAGTTCAACAGCTGCATTTTCATGGAGATAACCACAAGTTATTTCTCTATGATTTTTTATATAACTTATAGGATTGTGGCTTAAATTTAAATATTTTAAAATAGCCATGTCGCCAACTGCTGATATTAATTCATGATGTACAATCATGTTATTTGACAAATCCAATACTTTTAAATTTGTCAATTTATATAAACCTAAAAATGAATAAAATAAAATAATAATAAATACAAATTTATACATTTTTAAATATTTTATATTATTATCTAAATTTGTCAGAGTACACAGAGGTCATATTAAAGTTTACTTTTTATTTATTTTAGATTTTTTTAAATAATCTTTGGGAATAATTAAAATAATTTTGAACAAATATGTCACAAAAATTATTTCATTAAATAGATACCTTTAAAAGAGGAAATTACTTTGTAGGAGGTTATATTTAAAATTATATTCATACCCACTAAGATTTAAATATGTGAAAAATTGTTCAGGCACACATAAATATTAAAGTAGTTATTTTTGTAATGTCTAAAGTCTACTTAAATAAAAAATATTAAGTAATTTACATTTAAAATACATTTTAGAGATTTATTTATCTTAATTTTGGCTCCAATTACAATTATAACTCAAAAAAAAAAAAAAAAAAAAACATAATAAAAAAAATAAAAATCATTTAACTATAATATATTTAATTTTGAGAAGAGTGAAAATAATTTGAATTTTGATGTCTTATTTCTTACGTGGTTTTTTAATTAAGTGAAGTGTAATTATTTTTAAACAGTTAAAGTAATCTAAAATTGACAAAAATAAATTAAAAAATGAAATGAAATATATTGTCTATATTATATTATATGGCTAGATAATTAATAATTACATATTAATGAATAATTTGGTATACTTATACCTAATAATTTTAATACTTTAATATAATGAAAATGTGATTCATATATTTGCACTAATTATAGGAGTTTAAAATGTTTAGGAAAAAACTGTACAAACATAAAATAGTAAAACAGTACGTAAAGTATGTATATGTACTTATGATGAACAATTTTGCTTTATAATGCAAATCTGTTTTAAACTAATAATTTATTAATATAAATATAGTCACCTGTTAAATTGTTAATGCAATTATAACTCAGTATTAATACAGTTAAATTTATAGCTCCATAATCAGTTAATATTGGTACTTGAGTCAGCCTATTTATGCTTAAATTTAAAATGTCTAAATATTCCAGTTTTTCAATATTTTTGACTTCAGTTAATAAGTTTCTTGGTGCTTCTAAATATGTAAGATAAGGGGCTAATAATATTGACCTATCTAATTCTCCAAGATGGGTTCCTCTAAGTGCTAAATACTTTAGGTTAGTCCATTTTTTATTTAACAACACAGCTAAAGATTTTAATGGACCATAAATAATTAAAACTTCAATTTTTTCATAATTTAAACCTATCAACCATTCTATATCTATATCATAAAGTTCTAAATAAACTAGATTATGAAAAGGAGAAAGTTCAATAGACTGATTAAGATCAAAATTAGACGATTTAAGTAATTTCAACTTTGCAACTTTTTTTAGAATTTCAGATAAATAGTGATGATTTAAAATATGATCATTGTGAAGTGATGATAATACTCTTGTGATAATAATATGAAGAATTTCTGTATTGAGTGTTAATTTTTCATGGCCAGTGACAAAATTTTCTCCTCTGCATTTTAATTGTCGAATCAGCTTATTAACGGATTCCATTACTGAAAATATAAATAATAAAAAAAACCATAATTATTGTTAAAATATTATTAATAATATAATACTGGAAATAAATATAATATAAACTATAAACATTTTTTATGTTCTCCTTATTAAATTTTCAAAAATCATTTTATTTTATTTATATACTTTATCATGAGTACCTAATTAATTTATTATGATTCAAGTATGAATATGAAATTATAACGAAATTGTTGGGAATTTGAGGTAGCACTTCATTTACATTTTTTTTTGTTATTAAAATATTAATTATTTGTTCAATATTCAGTATCAATCAATATTTTTTAAAAAGCTTGTTGTTTTAGACATAAAATAAAAAGTGCTTAAAAGAACATCACACTACCCATAATTTGATTATTAGCATTTAATTAAATTAGGTACTATGATGAAAATAGCAAAAATATTAATTGTTTTACAAAGAATAGTGTTACGTATAATTAATAATAAGCAACAAATTAATTAAAACTTTAATAACTTTATATTTCAAACAAATATACCTCATACATTAAGACAATCAATTTGTAAATTATATTAATAAAATAAAAACCATTCAGTATATATATATGATTTTTATAAGTTTGATAATACATAAATATATGATTTTTATAAGTTTGATGATATTTAAAAGCATTATTATTTAATAGTTTAATTTAATGATTTTTATGCAGCGACATAATTACAATTTTTTTAATATTCATATTTGTATACAAATCACAACCTTGTCTAGAATTACAGTACACTTGAAAAAAAAATATATAAATTAGATTTAAATTTAACAAAGTATCTCATGTTTTATATTAATTAATAATTTAATAATTTATCCTATGTTAAGAATGAATTGTTTATGAATCTACATTTCATATACCTATCAAACTTTGCTGAAATTTAGAATAATAGGTACTATAGTAACCAAAAAAACTATTAAATATGAAACATAATATAGTATATTAAATATATTACAAATATGAATATATTTACAAAATACATACAATTATAGTTATTTTTACTGTTATCTTTATGGAATGTATGTAATATTACAACATCATAATCATAAAAATACCTACATACAAATTACTTTACTCAGGTAAGAATTGTTTAATAACAATAAATCATAATTTAGAGTACTAATGAGTTATAATTAGTTCGTTATTAGACATACCAGAAAATGATAGATATAAACTTAAATATGAGATAATAAATATTAAATAAACTAGTAATAAATCTAATAAAATAAATCAATTTGAAAATTTTATTGATAATAATTAATAACAAAACTAAATAAATATGAACAAAAGGTACTTACAAACTGATCTCAATTATTAAAAACAAAGAGCTTTTGTTTCTGAGAAATTAGCTTGTCAATTGGTCGTTATATAGCTAAATAATTGTATTAAAATGTATTTACATGTTTTACGAGGTGTATTATCATGTTAATGAACAATTAATTAAAAATACACAACATTAAACTACAAACTGTGATAAACTTTTAAAATAAACATATTTTCTAATAATTCCAAGAAATTTAATAGTATGTAAACTGTAAACGTAAGTGTTTTACTGGTTTAGTCGTTTTGCGGTATGCGATATTATATAATTTATACTCATAATAATCAACAGTGATTTGACTAAGTCTCAAATTAAAAATAAAAAGTTCAAAGTCTCAAAGGTTGAAAACTGATAAGATAATAATTAATAACACATCAGAATGATAAGAAACAGGTGTCGTATCACGGCAGCGTATATTAAAAAAAAACTGATTCCGAAGGTAAACCAAAATGATAAGTAATATCACGGAGTGTCGACTGTCAACTGTCGATTAAATGAATAAATAAACTAACTAAAAAATAAATTAAAATCAAAATTATTTAGTCATCTTACCGAAACCAATGTCTGAAGTTCTGTACTCAGTGCCTGGATGATAGATAACTACATAGTCAATTGGTAGTACTCTATTTATAAATAATATAAATTTGTACTATATATTAATATGTAGGTGATACGTCTCGGAACTTATAGTCAGTAGCTCTATAGAATACAATACAGACTAATGTCACTTTTTATATTTACTCGAGTTGTTTGGGTTAGTCAGTAGCCTTATTGAATTAAATTTATATCTTGTGACATGAAAGGCTACGTATTATGCAATATACTAAAATATTAAATATCTAAATTCTAGATACACATTACAACTTACTACTAATGCCACTAATGGTCTTGCATCTTGATGGTTTTGCAAATGCTCAAAACACTGAACTTACCAAAATATATACTGACATTTTCTTATTTTAAAATTTAGTTCTATCGAGTATTAATTTGTTACAAAAATACAATTTTAAACGTCGAATATATATAAACTCATAACTTTCAATTTTATGATTATTAATTATTTATTTTCATAGACGTCTATGACTATTACTACGCTTGAAATTCGGTACTCAGTAATGTTTTATGGAATAACCGATAAGTCCAATGGGTACGTAGTCCTTCTACCCAATTGGCATTTGATGGTTACAACCATGTAAAACTTTGTATTTTGACATGATTAAATTATTAATTTCTCTAATTATAATATGTTTTTGTGTTATAGTTTAAATACGAAGACATTTAGTTACCTAATTAAAATTTCCTTGAAAATTAGGTGGGTGGGTGGATAAAGAAAATAATGGTATACCGTAATAATAAAATGCCAAATTTTTCTCCTATTACTTCATTGAATACAAGAGCGTCATTAAACTATAAGCAATAAAATAGTTATAGTATATTTATTTTTTAATATTTTGAGGGGTGGTTAACTGAAAAAAGTGAACGAGTCAATTCAATTATATGAACTGTTCATTTTAATTTAATACTACATTCATTATAACATTAAAATATTAATAAGTGGTTATACCATATTATTATATCAACTTATATAATTTAAAATTCAATAATATACCTATTTTTATATATACCATAAAGCAGTAAAAATAGATTCATAATATTTATAAATATTTTGAGTTAAACAAAAAATGCTTTAGTGTATTGTAAAATTCATAACATATAAAATAAGTTATTTGCCAAGAGATTAGTTTAATTTTTCTACTCTCATTTCATTCATTGCCCATTGATTATAATGATTACAGTATTAAAATAAAGGTATAATTTATAACAATATCATAAAGAATAATATTATCCATGTCAGAAACTTATTTATAAATTTCATTTTTCAGAAAGTAAGGAGACAAATTGTTACTATTTATTGAACCTACAAAGGTTTCTTGATATATATTCAAAAATTAAAATATGTTATAAAAGCTAAGAACCACTTGAATAATAACTCTTGACTTGATGAATTATACATAATACACACCATCAGATAGAAAACTAACAAGGATGCTGGTAATTTATATGCTAGCTCCACTCTTGCTAAGACAACACAAGCACATGAGTATAGTCGGTCCACTATTGCCTTTTATACACTCCACTTGGTCAAAATTGTAATCCTTGTTCAAATTACGACGAGTTGATCTCGAGAGTATGGAGCTAGCATAAGATAATTTAAAAACCAATAGACAAAATGACATGTATAATAAATTACAAACATTTATTTTTCAAATATTTTTAGAGAGAATTTAATAAAATTATAATCCTAATATTTTTGCCTATAAGACAACTTTGGATAATTAGGAATGTCTAAAAAAAATTCCATATACGTAAATAATTATTAAATAAATACATTTAATTATATTCTCTTTTCATTCAGTCAGTATAAAAAATTATAAATCAAAAGCAGACGTGCTATGATAAAGGAATGCTTTGAGCTGTAAATAACTTACTGGAATGTAGGCCTAATGCATCGGATTTTTTTTTTTTTTATAATTTTGATTCTTATTAAAATATAAAATACAGGAAAAAATTCAAATAAAAATACAGTTTTTTAGGAAAATAAATATAAAAGTATTTAGAAGCACTTTCTGTGCACAATGGATGGGCCTGATTCATCGTACTCCTGTTTGGAGATCCACATCTGTTGGAAGGTAGACAGAGAAGCCAAGATAGATCCTCCAATCCATACTGAGTATTTTCGCTCAGGTGGGGCAATGATCTTGATTTTCATTGTAGATGGAGCCAAAGCAGTAATTTCTTTTTGCATTCTGTCAGCAATACCAGGGTACATGGTGGTACCTCCAGACAATACAGTGTTGGCGTACAAGTCCTTACGGATATCTACATCACACTTCATGATGGAGTTGTATGTAGTTTCGTGGATACCACATGCTTCCATTCCTAAGAATGAAGGTTGGAAAAGAGCTTCTGGGCAACGGAATCTAATAATAAAATACAACTATTAGACATAATTCACCAATATTATATAAAATAAATATTTGGTATAAAAACTACCTTTCGTTTCCAATTGTGATGACTTGACCATCAGGCAATTCATAGGATTTCTCCAATGAGCTGGAAGAAGCAGCAGTAGCCATTTCTTGTTCGAAGTCCAAAGCAACATAGCACAATTTTTCCTTGATATCACGAACAATTTCTCGTTCAGCAGTGGTAGTGAAACTGTAACCACGTTCGGTTAAGATTTTCATTAGGTAGTCGGTGAGATCACGGCCAGCGAGATCGAGACGAAGGATAGCATGAGGTAAAGCATAACCTTCATAGATTGGGACAGTGTGAGATACACCATCACCAGAATCCAAGACGATACCAGTGGTACGACCAGAAGCATACAATGAAAGTACAGCTTGGATAGCAACATACATAGCCGGAGTGTTGAATGTCTCAAACATGATCTATAAATTAAATAAATGGTTAGAAAATTGTTAAATATTTTGTAACCGATAATAAATTATTTTAAAATTAAGATAAATATTTACTTGTGTCATCTTTTCACGGTTAGCCTTGGGGTTCAAAGGAGCTTCTGTGAGTAATACTGGGTGTTCTTCTGGGGCTACACGCAATTCATTGTAGAAAGTGTGATGCCAAATTTTTTCCATATCGTCCCAGTTGGTGACAATACCGTGTTCAATTGGGTATTTCAAGGTAAGAATACCTCTTTTGGATTGTGCTTCATCTCCTACATAGCTGTCTTTTTGTCCCATACCAACCATGACTCCCTAATAATAGCAAATAATAAGTTAAACATTTGAAACTCATTAACTTAAATATTATAATATTTACCTGATGACGGGGACGTCCAACAATAGATGGGAACACAGCACGAGGTGCGTCATCTCCGGCAAAACCGGCTTTGCACATACCAGATCCATTGTCTACTACCAATGCGGCTACTTCTTCGTCACACATATTGAGTTAGTTTTTTAATATATTTAAACTGCAAAAAAAAAAAAATTACAATTTAGAACTTTTATACATATAAGTATAAACAAATAGAAACATTTACTAATAAACTATAATAAATTGTAGTTAATAAGGTTTAATAACTATTAATGAACCTAGCATTTTGATTCAAGACTATAAACTGTAGAAACTATTACCAAGAGTATAAACATTTTAAATTACAAGAATAAGATACTACTAAATTACCAATTAAATTCTAGTACAAAAATTAATGTACTACTAAAAAATATTTAATTTAATTATCATGTATAAAATTATGCTTAATTGTAATTATACATTAAAACGAGAAAAGAGAAATTTAAATTCACTGGTATTAAAAAAAAGATATTAAATTTAATTGATGACTGTTAATCAATCCAAATGGATTAATCTCCACTCATAAATAAATTTAAGAAGATAAAAAAGTAATAAAATAATAAACTTTTAAATTAAATAGAATGGCAGGCAGTTGATTAAAAATTATAATATAATTTTATTGATTGGGTTGTTTAATTTGAGAAGATAATAAGCCGTTAGAAATAATGAAAATTATTTCGTTTGAAAATCACGTAATAAGGCACAAAATTCGCTTATAAACAACACACCACTGCGATCGTTAAAAAAAAAAAAAAAATTGAAAATGCAAAGGCCGTATGAAAATAAAACGTAAAAAAACCCCAATCACAACACGCGATAATATTTAATTAGGTAAAACCAACATGACGACGAGATGATAATATTAATTGTACATAAATAAAGCACGTACCAGAAATAAACGTAGAAATTCCAAGAGTTTGGAACACGGGGTAACTATTTCGAACGTTGAAAAGTTTAAAATTTGTTTAAAACTTTTAAAAGTGAAAAAATATTATAGCCGCACAACGAACGAGTCGGTCATCGAACAAACTGGTCTTATGAGAGTGCTAACACCGGTATAAGTAGCTTTCCTCTCACTATGCGGTACAGTCAACGCGATACTCCTTCCCATGGACCCCGCCCTTCGATACGGACAACTACCACGTCATAGTCATCGTCGTCATCAACCCCACTTCGTCCCTCCCTAAAAACATACACCGCGCCACCACTACCGATCGCAAAAGGGCTGTTACACATAGCACCAGGTGTATATATATATAAATACACGGTAACCGGAATAATATAATACAGTTTGAAAACCGTGAGAAACGACGAGTAGTCGAGTAAAAGCTGTTACATACACATGCAAAAACACCCCACCCCTTATAATAATTGGACATAAATTAACGTATCGTTATAATAAATTAATGTACAAGTATAATGATATATATATATAATATAGTTTACGTTTAAATCCTATGAAGTAGAAGTTATTTATGAAAATATCTGGAAATGTTGGTAACGTGGACACGAAAACGAACGCCGAATTGATAAAATTGAGAGACAATATTAATATCGTTAATGATATTAGATATATCATTAATGGAGAAATTTCTATGGAATCACAGAGGGCCTTAAGGGAGGTAGGGCGTCGAGGATTTGAAAGATTTCCGACAGTTTTGGCGGTTGGTTTTTCTCAAAAACAAAATAACCTCGGTGACACAAGCCGGAAAAAATAGGTTTCAAAATAAATATAATACATAATAAATAATCAATTATATTTACCTTTAAATATGAAATCGACGACCGTTTTGGCTGGCGGAGCTGTAGAAAACGAATTCGCGTATCGGTGGCAGAGCGGTTACGGAAGTTTTCGTAAAGTGGCCGAACGGTCCGGGGCCGGTGTGCATCCTGCTGGACGAATCCATCGTCATCGCACCGGTAGGGTCGGTGACGGTGCGCGTCGATGGGCCGGAGACGCGGGGTGCATAGTGCGCGCTGACCGTGGTTCCCTGCCCCGATTGCGGCGCCGCCGAACGATGGATTCGCCCGATGCACCGCCGTTTTCCGCCCGTCCCGTGGCATTACCTTATATGGGCATAAAACGAACAGCACCACGCGATTGGTCGAGACCCGGCACAAGCCGGCGACCGCGGCCGAACGCATTCCATACCACGAACGGTATCAGCAGCAACCAGCAGCCGCCGCCGTGGAGACGTTTTACCCCCCGTCCCCTCGACGCTCCTTCCCATCCTGTTCGCTCCCAACGGCCGTAGCGGTGGCGGTGCAATGACGTGTCGTCTAGACGCGATAGTAGTGCGCTCGTCCATTTCAAACACTCTGTAGTCCAAGTCCATGCAACGGACACGCGAGCACCGGTGATAATGGCGATCGGCAACGCCCGCCACGTCATCCGCCAAAGATCCTCAGAATTACGATTTTTTTTTCTCTTCTGATCAATCATATTTTGCCAATATTATAATATCGAGTTTTTAACGTCCGACGATGACTAATCCTTCCCGGAGGCCGGAGTACGTTCGCGTCACTTGCGACGATTTCCTCAAATCTAAACTTTCCTACTTCCTATATGCGTAATGCTTGCACGATGCACTCCATTATAAAGACTGCAATACCGTTTTGATCGAATACGGTTTTAAGATTTTCAGGGTTTTTTCTCTTCGTCCTCTTAAACGTCGATTAGGTAACGATGTTGTAAGGTTTTCGTTAATTGGTACTTATTATCTCCTTATCATACTCTAAAATGTTTCCAAAGATAATTCGAGTATCTCTGTGGATTTGATTGATTGATCACCGCGTATCTTGATAATTACACATTTATTTGACGACAAATTGAATGAGAAATCGTAATTATTCGTGGGTATTTGTTGGATATTCCATTTCAGTTATGATACGCCGCCAACTTGTAGAACCAGTTTTACACCTCAATTTATGATGGTTAAAACATTTCGAATTTTCATACCTGTACCAGTTTTACTCTACAAAACCAATTTGTTTAATATTGTTTATACCTATTATCCTATTAGATATTTTAAAAGTACATTGTACATTATGATTTTAAATATTACTTCACACTCTGTACTTTTATTGGTAGGTAAATAATAATAATAATAATATAATATGAATTTCGCATTTTTTACATAATACCTAATATGAAAGTTGACTAAGTTTTCATAATTAGTGACAGGTATTTGACAGACATTATTTTAGTACAAAACATCTATTAATAAGATTCTAATGTTACATTTTAGTTGATTTTGGTTAAAAACTACGAGTAATAATATATGTATACATTGAATTTTTGAATAATATAACGAGATTGATAGTTCTACACATAAGTACTCAACACTATACCTACATACTTCAAAATATGGATAGAAGCCAGAAAAATGTATTTCCTGTTACCGTTCGTTTTTATGTGGCTATAACTTGTACTATAATATATAGAATTTATTTTAATTTCTTCACTGTCATTCAAAAATCCGCACAATTATCGACTTGTTTTTAATTGATTTTATAGCTGTATGCTTATATATCTATGCTATAAGTATAAACATTTCACATAAATAATACATTTTAAAATTATGTGTATAATGTTAAAAATGTATAAACTACTTTCGAAATTAATTTAAACATTGTTACTCAGATAAATAAACAAGTTATTATATTCAATGGTTTTAACATATTTAGCGTTGATAGGTACCAGATACGTCAACATTTTTTTGATTATATGATTTAATTTTACAATGAATTTTTTAAAATTATATTTTCAAGTGTTTTACAATATCTACATTATAATCACAAGTATTGTTAAATATTAATATTGGAACAAAACTAGTTTGCTCAATTTAAGAGCACCTCCTACATAAATATGGTTATAATTATGAATGCTAAAAAAATTTAATTTCATGTATTATACAATATATCTTAGTTTTTACGCCCATGGTTTAATTGTTTTATATTCACAATAGCGTAGTAAAATCCAATTACCGTATAAATATAAATTAGTATTATATGTATGAACAGTAATATATGAAAATCTACTTGATTCAAACTAAATAAACTATTTAACGAATTTTATAAATTTAATGCAAATCAGTTTATCATTATGAATAGAGTAATAATGTTTCAGTATAATGAAAATATTACTTATATACAATATAAGAGTATATTAAAAGTAATCAGATAGATGGACAGTCTATAGAAGATAATAATAGGTATTTAGCTTATTAAAAAATAAAATTAAAATATGAACATGTTTATACACTTTTATACAGTTATACGTGACTCATTATTTAGTGTAATTTATCATTTTATTCTTATGATACAACAAAATATTTTAACTTTTTAAAACAAAATTTTTACTACAATTATTATACAGGAAGAAGCAAATTGTAGTATGTAGATATTGACTAAATTATGTTTTATAAGAAAACATTATTACCCATCTATATATGGTTTGTTTCCATGGTTACTAACATAATCTCTGTTATTCATGTATTTGAGTTTGTCTTTTGAATGATTTTAAACCATATAATTATATTAAATAAAAGAACATGTAATTATATTGAACGACTAAAACCTGTCTTTGTGCGTATTTGATATTATATTATTTAGTCTGTACTCTGTAGGTACCTATCTATAATAAATATTGAAAATTCGAATATATTACACATAATATAATAAATTATACTATCTAACATTTCTAAATTGGAATCAAATACCTAAAAAAAACTTAAGCATTAATAATTTTATGTAAACAAATAACATTACACGTTAATATAATACCAATATAGATGATAAATCGAAAGATTTAGACGAAAATACATAGGAGAAATATGTATCATATATTTGTAAAAATCTAAAAATTGCTATTAGAATCAAATATTTATTATTATTAGGTACTTTATTCGTTGTATTTTAATTTTTTTTATTAAATTTTTAGTTAGTTTTTATTTGTTGATTTATTTGTAATTATTAGGTAAATAAGTACCTAGGTACCTAGTTTTGAACTAAGTAATTTTATGTGAAAAATATTTTTTTATCATAAATAAATAAAAAAAAAAGTCATTAATTTTAAATACCTATAAATATTCCTAAATAACAAAAATATTTTTAAAATTATACCATGCCATTTTATTAAGTATTTATATGTATATTTATAAATTTAATTATTCATTATATTGTCTCCCTCAAATTTTGTAAGTCCCAATTAAATTCAATTAGCTACATTTAAAGTTAAAAATTAGATCATTTTGACTGCTTAAAAAAATGATAACAGATAAAAATAGAACATTAATAGAAAACTATTATACACATAAACGTAACTAGAACTATTAAATTGAGTGGGTTCAAGCCTAAATTTAAAATGTTTAACAGAAAGAAGGGGTTATGAAACTACACCCTCCCCTTAATAAATAAGTAAATATATTAAAATTATGAATACCAAAATTTTCAACTCAGAAATACAATTTAAGTTAATATCCATCAGTAAAATACATTTATTATAAAATAGTATTTATTTATCATAATTGCATTTTTCTATTTTTTTTCAGTATATTGGTTAAAAATACTGAACATGTGTTTAATTTTTATAAAACCTAATAAAAATATTTATTTGAATTTTAGCTACCCATTAACTAAAATTTTGTTTATAATAGTTATTTAAATACAATTAGATACTTATGAATCATGGAGTTAATAAAATAATTGTGATACCAAATTTAATTTTGATGAATAATTCATATAAGTTTAATAATATAATAAAAGTGTTAGTAGTATTAGTACCTTCACATGTTTACACATATTAATTACGAAAAGATTTAACCGGTGTACAATGGATGTAAATAGCATTTGTATGGCGTTCTTTAAGTAAAGTCTGTACTCCCACTTTACAGCCAGACATGATATTCTCTCCGTCTTAAGATTGAGCTATAATAGCTAGGAAGACTATCCAATTTTAACATTTTTAAAAAAGGGTACAATATTTATTATCACTTTTTTTCATGTCATACATAATTATGTTCTATTGTGA